ACATTTGTTCTCTTATTGCCTCTGGATTTTAAGTCATAATTAGAAAGCTTTTCTCTATACTGAGGTTAAAGAGGAGTCCACTACGTTTCTTTCTAATAGTTATGTAGTTTCATATTTTATATTTAGATTCTTGAATCATTTGGAATTTATGATGTTTGGTATGAAGTATGGATCCAATTTTCCCTGTTTCCAAATGGCTACCCAGTTATCCCAGCACCATTTATTAAAAGCCCATCTTTGCCCCAGTGATATAAGATGCCACCTTTATTATCCACTAAATTTCTTTATGCACTTGAATCTGTTTTTGGGTTTTCTAGTCTATTTCCCTGGTCATGTGCCAGTGCCACACTAGTTTATATATAAAGGTTTTCAAGTTTTAATTTCTGATTAGGCAAGTCCCCCTTTCTATATATTTTTATATATTTTGAAGTAAGCCCCATTGCTTATTAGCCACAATCCCTTTTTATGGGAAAGATAACTTAATGCCTTTTTATTATGGGCTTCCTGAGAAAGGAAAAGAACATTCCTCTCAATTTTCTCCTCATTATCATGTTTGTGATATCATCTCTACCTTCATCTTGATGTCATCTATACCATCCGTGTAATAATATTTTATGTGCATTTTCTTTTTTAATGGAACATCAATATTCAGGCAGATCTTGGGAGAAACTGAAAATATGCATATGTGAAGTATCTGTCCTCTCCCCAAGCTCAACTTCTCACTTTTAGCATGTGTGGAGTGTTTGACTATTCGAGGCTAATTCTCCTTGTTCAGAACTGTGTTACTGGGAGTTTAGAAGAGGCTCCTGCATGATCAGAGATACTAGAAATAGAAGGTATCTTTAGTCCGCTCCTTTTATATGCAGAAAGGGAGGATCAAGAAGGGGAAGTCACTTGCACCAGTAGAAAGAGGTGGAAACAAGCTTAGAAACAGTCTAACCTAATTACTTGGTTTTACCAAGGCAGAAATCCCAAGTCACCCGCCCCCCATTTTTTTTTTTTTTTTTTGAGACAGA